TGTAGTTGTTGTTACTGTTGTTGTTGTTACTGTAGTTGATGTTACTGTTTGTTGTTTGTTAGTTGATTTTTCGTTGTTGTTACTGTAGTTGTTGTTACTGTTGTTGTTGTTACTGTTGTTGTTGTTACTGTTGTTGTTGTTACTGTAGTTGTTGTTACTGTTGTTGTTGTTACTGTAGTTGTTGTTACTGTTGTTGTTGTTACTGTAGTTGATGTTGCTGTTGCTGTTGTTGATGCTATTTTTGTTGTCGTCATTGTTGCTGATATTTCTGCTGTTGTCATTTCGTTGTTATTGTTCTTGCTGGTGTTATTGTTATTATTTTTGTGATTATAATTCTTGTTATTATTGTTGTTGCTGTTATTGTTATCATTGTTGCTGTTATTGTTATCATTGTTGCTGTTATTGTTATCATTGTTGCTGTTATTGTTATCATTGTTGCTGTTATTGTTATCATTGTTGCTGTTATTGTTATCATTGTTGCTGTTGTCTTCAGTGGACAAACATCACTACCTCAGTGTCACTGTGAAACTGTCTTCATCACTTAAGGAATTACTGAAAGACTTTCAGTAATTCCTAAAGTCTGTCTTGACCACTGCTTTCAGTACGTCTGTCTTGACCACTGCTTTCAGTACGTCTGTCTTGACCACTGCTTTCAGTACGTCTGTCTTGACCACTGCTTTCAGTACGTCTGTCTTGACCAACTGCTTTCAGTAAGTCTGTCTTGACCACTGCTTTCAGTAAGTCTATCTTGACCACTGCTTTCAGTAAGTCTGTCTTGACCACTGCTTTCAGTAAGTCTATCTTGACCACTGCTTTCAGTAAGTCTGTCTTGACCACTGCTTTCAGTAAGTCTGTCTTGACCACTGCTTTCAGTAAGTCTATCTTGACCACTGCTTTCAGTAAGTCTGTCTTGACCACTGCTTTCAGTAAGTCTGTCTTGACCACTGCTTTCAGTAAGTCTGTCTTGACCACTGCTTTCAGTAAGTCTGTCTTGACCACTGCTTTCAGTACGTCTGTCTTGACCACTGCTTTCAGTAAGTCTGTCTTGACCACTGCTTTCAGTAAGTCTGTCTTGACCACTGCTTTCAGTACGTCTGTCTTGACCACTGCTTTCAGTAAGTCTGTCTTGACCACTGCTTTCAGTAAGTCTGTCTTGACCACTGCTTTCAGTAAGTCTGTCTTGACCACTGCTTTCAGTAAGTCTATCTTGACCACTACTTTCAGTAAGTCTATCTTGACCACTACTTTCAGTAAGTCTGTCTTGACCACTACTTTCAGTAAGTCTATCTTGACCACTGCTTTCAGTAAGTCTATCTTGACCACTGCTTTCCGTAAGTCTATCTTGACCACTGCTTTCAGTAAGTCTGTCTTGACCACTGCTTTCCGTAAGTCTATCTTGACCACTGCTTTCAGTAAGTCTGTCTTGACCACTGCTTTCAGTAAGTCTGTCTTGACCACTGCTTTCCGTAAGTCTATCTTGACCACTGCTTTCAGTAAGTCTGTCTTGAACCACTGCTTTCAGTAAGTCTGTCTTGACCACTGCTTTCAGTAAGTCTATCTTGACCACTGCTTTCAGTAAGTCTATCTTGACCACTGCTTTCCGTAAGTCTATCTTGACCACTGCTTTCAGTAAGTCTGTCTTGACCACTGCTTTCAGTAAGTCTATCTTGACCACTGCTTTCCGTAAGTCTATCTTGACCACTGCTTTCAGTAAGTCTGTCTTGACCACTGCTTTCCGTAAGTCTATCTTGACCACTGCTTTCAGTAAGTCTGTCATTGACCACTGCTTTCAGTAAGTCTGTCTTGACCACTGCTTTCCGTAAGTCTATCTTGACCACTGCTTTCAGTAAGTCTGTCTTGACCACTGCTTTCAGTAAGTCTGTCTTGACCACTGCTTTCAGTAAGTCTATCTTGACCACTGCTTTCAGTAAGTCTATCTTGACCACTGCTTTCCGTAAGTCTATCTTGACCACTGCTTTCAGTAAGTCTGTCTTGACCACTGCTTTCAGTAAGTCTATCTTGACCACTGCTTTCAGTAAGTCTATCTTGACCACTGCTTTCAGTAAGTCTATCTTGACCACTGCTTTCAGTAAGTCTGTCTTGACCACTGCTTTCAGTAAGTCTATCTTGACCACTGCTTTCAGTAAGTCTGTCTTGACCACTCCTTTCAGTAAGTCTATCTTGACCACTGCTTTCAGTAAGTCTGTCTTGACCACTGCTTTCAGTAAGTCTATCTTGACCACTGCTTTCAGTAAGTCTGTCTTGACCACTGCTTTCAGTAAGTCTGTCTTGACCACTGCTTTCAGTAAGTCTGTCTTGACCACTGCTTTCAGTAAGTCTGTCTTGACCACTGCTTTCAGTAAGTCTGTCTTGACCACCGCTTTCAGTAAGTCTGTCTTGACCACTGCTTTCAGTTAAGTCTGTCTTGACCACTGCTTTCAGTAAGTCTATCTTGACCACTGCTTTCAGTAAGTCTGTCTTGACCACTGCTTTCAGTAAGTCTATCTTGACCACTACTTTCAGTAAGTCTATCTTGACCACTGCTTTCCGTAAGTCTATCTTGACCACTGCTTTCAGTAAGTCTGTCTTGACCACTGCTTTCCGTAAGTCTATCTTGACCACTGCTTTCAGTAAGTCTGTCTTGACCACTGCTTTCAGTAAGTCTGTCTTGACCACTGCTTTCCGTAAGTCTATCTTGACCACTGCTTTCAGTAAGTCTGTCTTGACCACTGCTTTCAGTAAGTCTGTCTTGACCACTGCTTTCAGTAAGTCTATCTTGACCACTGCTTTCAGTAAGTCTATCTTGACCACTGCTTTCCGTAAGTCTATCTTGACCACTGCTTTCAGTAAGTCTGTCTTGACCACTGCTTTCAGTAAGTCTATCTTGACCCAAGCTTTCCGTAAGTCTATCTTGACCACTGCTTTCAGTAAGTCTGTCTTGACCACTGCTTTCCGTAAGTCTATCTTGACCACTGCTTTCAGTAAGTCTGTCTTGACCACTGCTTTCAGTAAGTCTGTCTTGACCACTGCTTTCCGTAAGTCTATCTTGACCACTGCTTCAGTAAGTCTGTCTTGACCACTGCTTTCAGTAAGTCTGTCTTGACCACTGCTTTCAGTAAGTCTATCTTGACCACTGCTTTCAGTAAGTCTATCTTGACCACTGCTTTCCGTAAGTCTATCTTGACCACTGCTTTCAGTAAGTCTGTCTTGACCACTGCTTCAGTAAGTCTATCTTGACCACTGCTTTCAGTAAGTCTATCATGACCACTGCTTTCAGTAAGTCTATCTTGACCACTGCTTTCAGTAAGTCTGTCTTGACCACTGCTTTCAGTAAGTCTATCTTGACCACTGCTTTCAGTAAGTCTGTCTTGACCACTGCTTTCAGTAAGTCTATCTTGACCACTGCTTTCAGTAAGTCTGTCTTGACCACTGCTTTCAGTAAGTCTATCTTGACCACTGCTTTCAGTAAGTCTGTCTTGACCACTGCTTTCAGTAAGTCTGTCTTGACCACTGCTTTCAGTAAGTCTGTCTTGACACTGCTTTCAGTAAGTCTGTCTTGACCACTGCTTTCAGTAAGTCTGTCTTGACCACCGCTTTCAGTAAGTCTGTCTTGACCACTGCTTTCAGTAAGTCTGTCTTGACCACTGCTTTCAGTAAGTCTATCTTGACCACTGCTTTCAGTAAGTCTGTCTTGACCACTGCTTTCAGTAAGTCTATCTTGACCACTACTTTCAGTAAGTCTATCTTGACCACTGCTTTCAGTAAGTCTATCTTGACCACTACTTTCAGTAAGTCTGTCTTGACCACTGCTTTCCGTAAGTCTATCTTGACCACTACTTTCAGTAAGTCTATCTTGACCACTACTTTCAGTAAGTCTGTCTTGACCACTACTTTCAGTAAGTCTATCTTGACCACTATTTTCAGTAAGTCTGTCTTGACCACTACTTTCAGTAAGTCTGTCTTGACCACTACTTTCAGTAATTCTGTCTTGACCAATACTTTCAGTAAGTCTATCTTGACCATTACTTTCAATAAGTCTATCTTCACCACTACTTTTAACATGGTATGTATAACTATCAATAAATCCATTAATTAATCCATGCAGTATCCTCAATAAATACATCCATTGTTCTCACTAAATTCATCAAGTATCCTCAATAAGTCGATCTATAATCCTCAATAAATCCATCCATTTCCCTCGATAAATATCGTATCAGCTTCCGTGAATTCTTCACTATTCTCTATATATCCTGCCAATATCCTGTCCAAATTGTTAATTATTTTTCCATTAATCCCCTAATATTTTGTCTCAATCCTTCATTATTTTTTTAAAATATCATAAGGTTCACTGTCCTTTATAAATACCCATTATCCTTCTTCAATTCTTTATTGCCATCTGTAAATCCCTCATTATCCTTCGTAAATCATCCTCCGTAAATCTTCCATTATCCTACCTGAATACTTTATTGTGACCTGTAAATCCCCCCCATTCTCCTTCCTAATTTTTTTATTAATCATCCATGACCTACCCATTATCAACCAAAAAAATCACTACTCTTCCTAAGCCCCTGTCTAAATCCCTTATTATCATCTATGCCTATGTAACTGATGTCACCTCTCCTTCCTTAGAGTCAAATCACAAGATTGATAATTGAGACACTTGGGCAACATTTCGGAATCTATATTTCTGGAAACGTTTCGCTTCCCAGTCGCTTCTTCAGTCTAATACAGAGAAGAACGGTAGACGATGCGGTGGAATTTTAGATAATCAGTTCTTCAGCCTTGAGTCGATATATTCAGTGAACATATCGACTCCAGGCTGAGGGACTGATTATCCCAAAACCCCTCCCCATTTCCACAGTTCTTCTATGTATTGGACTGAAGAAGCCGCTGGGTGGCGAAACGTTTCCAGAAATCAAGATTCCCAAATGATATCTTAGTGCCTCAATTATCAACTTCTCGGTTATTTAAATCATGTAAACATATCACAGGCTTCTCACCTGATGCTGTAGAGGACGTCACCATCTGGGAAGATCCTGATGTAAGTGTTGGGGAGGATGATGTCGTGGAAGTGGCCAGTCTTCTCGTTCTTAAAGAACAGGTCTGGCATCCAGATCTTGTCTGTCTCCGTCAGCGTCAGGTACTTGATGCGACCTGCGGGAGGAGGGGAGCTTTGAGTGCAAACAAGGGAGCTTCGAGTGGGCACAGTGGAGATTTTAGTGGGTAGAGGGAGGCTTTGAGTGGGTAGAGAGGAGCTTCGAGTGGGCACAAGGGAGATTTGGAAGACTGGACAGAGGGGCGCCCAAAAGTTATTGGCGGAGCTCTTGGAGTGGGTGGAATGGTGTGAATGTACACAAAGATATGAACGTGAGGGAAGACACAGAAATGAATGTGACTGCCATTAGTAGTTTGAATGTCTGTTTGGGCACGGGCGTGGTTAATAAAAGTTACACTATACCTGTAACACGTAGCGTAACACTATGACTGCCTGTTACACTTAATGTAACCAAAGGAGAGACGTACATTTAAAAAAGTTTCTTTCTTTGCACAGCTCTCTTGATAAAGCTCAGTCTGGAAGGGGTGGTCTTGTCTTGATAAAGCTCACTCTGGAGCGAGTAGTCTGGTCTTGATAAAGCTCTATACGGAGCAGATAGTCTTGTCTTGATAAAGCTTTATACTGAGCGGGTAGAGCTTCATCTCACCCACCTCTGGGCCGTCCTGGTGACAATCTAACACTTGCCAAGACAAAGATATTTGGATCTGTTCTCATGTAAGTTAGTGTAAATATCCTTGAGGCAGCTGGGTAAGCGACTTGACTGTCAAGTTGCTCCAACCTGGCAGCTAACTTGGCTAATGATCCAAACTACCTCTTTCTCTCAACTTAAGTTTTGTTTACGGACCAGTTCTAAAAGATTTATTGATAATGTTTCGCCATGTGTCTAAAGTCTCTGCTTTCTCTCTGACTGTCTCTGTCTTTGTTTATGTCTGTCTGTCTGTCTGTCTGTCTGTCTGTTCTGTCTCTCTCTCTCTCTCTCTCTCTCTCTCTCTCTCTCTCTCTCTCTCATTCTCTCTCTCTCCTCTATCTCTCTCTCTCTCTCTCTCTCCTCTCTCTCTCTCTCTCTCTCTCTCATTTCAAAACCGGAATTTAAGAAGTTAATTATTAAGGAACTTAGCAGCCTTGACATGTTAAAATACTTAGAGAAGATAAACATTAAGATATTAAGTGAACCAGATCATTGCCTGTTAGAATTATAAGTTAACGTAGACACCAGACTACTTCTCCTCTAATGTTAATATTTAGTAAATCATTAAAAGGCAAGGTGCCAACCTCTTTGACAACAGCTAATATTAACCCAGTGTTAAAAATAAGGAAACAAGATGTGTCGTTCCATCCCTTTAACATCGATTTTAAGTAAATAAATTAACACTGTTTTTTTTTTTAGGGAGAGGCTAACAATTTAATAACGTACTCAGCATTGCTATCGCAACACAAGGTTATGCTGACCAACATACTAAAATTCTTCTGTTATATATACGACGAGCCTCGAAATTTACTTCTTAGCCAGGGTGAGACCTTGGCAACTCAGTGACATTATCACTGTATCATCGAGAACAGAGAAACGATCACTGTTTCTGGTGTCTCAGATAAGCCGTAAGGATCCCAGGTTCGAGGCTCACAAAGTGACGTCAGACTAGATATTTCGTAATGTCAAACTCTAAGGTAATGTCTTCATACTTATCCTAAGGTAATGTAAACCTCAGAATGAAGTGAATAGCAATCCATTTTAAGCAGTCTAGTTTTTAAGTGAGTCATTAATAAATGAATAAATTAAAGTTTGAACAGGTTTTAATGGTGCGCTTGTTGCCTCTCGAGACCAGCAAGCAAAACTCTTTGATATTTCACGAATTTAAGAGAAGGTAACGTGAGTTTAATACCTTTTTGTGTACTGAGTTAGCAGCTATTATATTTGCACATAATGAGTTTAAATTGTTTCTGCAAATATAAATTTGATTACACATTACCTATATATAATATATATATATATATATATATATATATATATATATATATATATATATATATATATATATATATATATATAATATATATAAACATTTTATTATCTTAGACAGCATGAGGATTCGATCCGGTAACTCGCACCTGAATTGACAGAGCTCCATTATTATTTTGTTTTGTCCACAAGTTTAATAATAATATATCTTTCTTACTACAAGTACATGTACAAGGTATACAGTCCCAGCTGACATCATTGACATACTACTATATAAAAAGCCGCTTGTTATGCAGAGCATTTCGCGCAAATTATAGGTCACTTTTGTCCCAGGATGCAACCCACACCAGTCGACAACACCCAGGTACCCATTTTACTGATGGGGGAACATAGACAACCGGTGTAAGGAAACATACCCAATGTTTCTACCCTCGCCGGGAATCGAACCCAGACCCTCGCCGTGTGAAGCGAGAGCTTTAGCCACTGGGAACGGGACACAGGGAAATATTATGCCTCTCTCAAAGCATTTTTCACTTACACATCAATGTTTCGTAACTACAACCATCCAGTGTTGATGATTTGCTAAGCAAAACAAAGGGAGAAAAAAATTAAGTTGAGATGGGTGAGATGATCAAGGAGAGGCAGGAATATTCCCCAATCAGTATCATGGCACATTTCAAGAGCGGTATTTTCAGCATGAAAGACACGATGTCCTGGGTGACTGCCAGCAGAATATTACCAGTATTTTTTTTCTTTTCTTTTCTTTTTCTGCGAGGAAAATGTCTCGTGGCAGAGTCTCGTGAAGGTGTCAGGACAAGAGACTGACATTCCTATTATTCTTTACCAAACATCAACAGAATTTTTAGCTGAACACGGATAAATTATGTGGAAAATATATATCCATGCCGATATAAATAGAGGTGTGATCAAAGCTCAGACCTTCACAACACAGTTGTCCTCAAAGATCTGTTAAGTTATACCATGAATTAAGGAAAGATCCTGGACTTCACCTTACGAAACAGAAAAAGAAAATGAGATAGTAATAATGGACAAGGTAGATTATAGTGGAAAAATATCATACTAATAAACAATAAGGGAACTGACGTGGCCCAGGTCGGACCCAAAGTCGTCATAAGTATCTTTGTCCTGTGTGCGAGTTACTTGTGTATAGTTTCCTGCTCCTCCCTGTCAGGTATTAATTATCAGACGTCCATCGTAGTTCTGTGTCTGTATGTCACTCTATACAACATCCTTCGTGTGTATGATTACACTGGTTTGAAAACTGACAAGTTGATCAATAAAATACTTGTGCAACATCTGGGTTATCTTTATTCCGGAGGCGTTTCTCCAGCCAGTGACTTCTTCAGTCCAATGCAGAGAAGATGATGACGAGGAGTTTGAAGTAATCAGTCCCTCAGCCTGGAGTCGATGTGTTCAGTCCGAAAGTCAATCAACAATGATGGACTGAACACATCGACTCCAGGCTGGGGGACTGATTACCTCAAACTCATCGTCCTCCTCATCTTCCACCTTTCTCTGCAGTGGACTGAAGAAGGCACTGGCTGGAGAAACGTTTCCAGAACAAAGAAACTCAACTGTTGTACAAGTGTCTCATTTATCATCCTTTGTGTGTGTGTGTTGCATCAATCGTTGAACACACACCACCTGCCTTTGCAATGTGTTCACTTGTTCACTCTTTACTTTATTTCAATTCCAGCAGGTTCATACAAAAAAAAAGTATTTTTTTAGGATGTTTGGGATGGCTGGATGTCTATTAATTTTTAGTAACACTGGTAATGTACAGCCTCGTATAGTACTTGGTGTACGTATTATGTCTTGTTCACTAATACTATGTTCTCTTAGCTAATAAGATGTTCTCTTAGCTAATAAGATGTTCTCTTAGCTAATAAGGTGTTCTGTTAGCAAATAAGTGTTAATAAGATGTTCTGTTAACTAATAAGATGTTCTGTTAATAAGATGTTCTGTTAATAAGGTGTTCTGCTATACAATGCCCTGTCCACTAACATGATGCCATGTTCACTGATATGATACATTGTTCACTAATATGATGTTTGTTCTTCATTATGCTACCCTGTTCTCAAATTTTCCACCCTGTTCTCCATATTGCCACTCTGTTCCTCGTTATGCCACCCTGTTCTTCATTATGCCACCCTGTTCTTCATTATGCCACCCTGTTCTTCATTATGCCACCCTGTTCTTCATAACGCTGGCCTGTTCTCTGTTCTGTGTTGCACTACCTCTTTAAAGTTTAACACTGGTTCTATTGTTCACTCTTGACCTCAGAGAGCAAAGGTCAAAGTCTCTTTGTTGCCAGCAGTCAGACCCTTGTTAATTACCACGAAATTCTTTGACTGGTACCTGATTGGTTCATGGATGAAACACGAAGGATATCTGACTGGTAACTGACTGGTAGCATTGACGTAGCAGTCAGGCTATCTTGCCTCTCAAAATTACTAACAGGTAACATAGGCAAGACAACATTGCTGCAGTCCTGACTCAGGCCTAATAATTTTTCCAGATTAAACAATGCCTATATAGAAAATAATTACAACTCTCCCATTTCTCATTTTTTTTACATTTACGAAAGGCCTACATGGTATGTAATTATCATTTTACGTGCCTCATTATGTAAAGTAATCTCCTTACAATATATTGCTTAGTGTAATTCCATTATTTATGTATTTCCAATTTGGCTTCCTTTTATCCTTCTACAATTACCGTGTGTGTGGTGTATATCTCTTTCCACTCCTGATTGCGTACAATCAGCTCTGTCAACATCAGTTGTCTGATATACGAATTTCCTCTAATGGTGTACAATACTCTGTTCCATCCACACGTACCTGAGGTACGATGCTGGTTATTCTTATCTCACGTTCATCTTCCTTATGCACGATGTCTCCCTTAACCACATAGCTCTTGTTTTACAGGACATAAGATGCTTTCTCTACCTGCCTTAACCAATCAATATCATTAAACTATATTTAATAATATCCAGTACAGTATATACACACAAAACGTACACCGGCTCCGTTTACTTGCCTTTCAATCTCCTTACCTACGTTCCACTCACCTTACCCGAGGAAGGATGCTTCTCTCACCTGTCTTCCACTTACCTCACCTGAGGAAGGTTGCCTCTCTCTTTCGACTGCCTTTCACTCTCCTTACCTACCCGAGGTATGGCGCTTATATCACCTGCCTTCCACTTGCATTATTCGAGTTACGGCGGTACCTCTACCTACTTTATTACCTAGTAACGACCTGAGGTTTGCTAGGTTAGGAAGTGGATTGACGTACCTCCCTCACTGCTGTAGTTCAGACGGTCGTCGTTCCAGTGCTCCCTGAAGGTCATCTGCACGCTGTACTCCTGTGCAACAAAAGCAACAACAGTGTAACAAAATACGGAAGTATACACTCTGAACAACACTGGTATTAGACACCAGTGTTATCATGGTAGCATACACTGACAGTGTTGTAATGAGACACACGGTGTGGGTTATGCCATTTCATTGTGAAGACGTTTCGCCCACTAGGGACTTTATGAATTGCCTGGTGAGCGAAATGTCTTCAAGTGTCTTCCTTCCGACCAGGTATCACTTTTAGCCTTTCTTGCAACTTTCTTTCCATCTGTTTCACTCTCTCTTCCTTTATCTTCCACTCTATTTTTTTTTCACACAGGGTTTGACAAGGTTAGGTTAAGGATCCCTATAATTCCCATTCTACTTATCTTTCTCACGTTCCCTCTCTCCTTTTCACTCTCAGTCCATCTTTTCCTCACTCTCCATTCCCCTCTCACCCTCCATCATTGTTTCACTCACCAACTCTCTGTTTATCGTTCCTTTTTTCTCTCTCTCTCTCTCCTCTCTCTCTCTCTTCTCCCCTCTCTCTCTCTCTCTCTTCTCTCTCTCTCTCTCTCTCTCCTCTCTCTCATCTCTCTCTCTCTCTCTTCTCTCTCTCTCTCTTCTCTCTCTCTCTCCTCTCTCTCTCCTCTCTCTCTCTCTCTCTCTCTCTCTCTCTCTCTCTCTCTCTCTCTCTCTCTCTCCCAGTACTCACCATATGATAGTCATCAATCTTGTTAATGGACCGGATCATGATATTGATGACAACTGTAGTGTAGTCACCATCCTTGGCGGCTGTGGTACAAAAGTCAGTATAGCCTCAATATAAACGTAAAAACTAACAATTACAAAGTATGCAACATCTACAACATACATGTAACATGCACAGTAAACATCCAATGTTTGAGGGAGCTAAATAAGGTAAGAAAAGATTCATGTCCCACCACACTACATGTACCACCACACTACATGTACCACCAAACGCTACATGTACCACCACAGATTACATGTACCACCACACACTACATGTATAACCACACACACTACATGTACCACCACACACTACATGTACCACCACAAACTACATGTACCACCACACACACTACATGTAAAACCACACACTACATATACCACCACACACTAAATGTACCAGCACACACTACATGTACCACCATACACACTACATGTACCAGCACACACTACATGTACCAGCACACACTACATGTACCACCACACACACTACATGTACCACCACACACTACATGTACCACCACACAACTACATGTACCACCACACACACTACATGTACCACCACACACTACATGTACCACCACACACTACATGTACCACCATAACTACTACATGTACCACCACACACACTACATGTACCACCACACACACTACATGTACCACCACACACTACATGTACCAGCACACACTACATGTACCACCATACACACTACATGTACCACCACACACTACATGTACCACCACACACTACATGTACCACCATACACACTACATGTACCACCACACACTACATGTACCACCCACCACTACATGTACCAGCACACACTACATGTACCACCACCACACTACATGTAACCAGCACACCACTACATGTACCAACCACACACTACATGTATACCAGCACACACTACATGTACCACCACACACTACATGTACCACCATACACACATACATGTACCACCACACACTACATGTACCACCACACACTACATGTACCACCACACACTACATGTACCACCATACACACTACATGTACCACCACACACTACATGTACCACCACACACTACATGTACCAGCACACACTACATGTACCACCATACACACTACATGTACCACCACACACTACATGTACCACCACACACTACATGTACCAGCACACACTACATGTACCACCACACACTACATGTACCAGCACACACTACATGTACCACCAACACCTACATGTACCAGCACACACTACATGTACCACCACACACTACATGTACCACCATACACACTACATGTACCACCACACACTACATGTACCACCACACACTACATGTACCACCACACACTACATGTACCACCACACACTACATGTACCACCATACACACTACATGTACCACCACACACTACATGTACCACCACACACTACATGTACCACCACACACGACATGTACCAGCACACACTACATGTACCACCACACACTACATGTACCACCACACACTACATGTACCACTACACACTACATGTACCACCACACACACTACATGTACCACCACACACACACATGTACCACCACACTACACATTGTACCACCACACACTACATGTACCACCACACACGACATGTACCAGCACACACTACATGTACCACCACACACTACATGTACCACTACACACTACATGTACCACCACACACACTACATGTACCACCACACACACTACATGTACCACCACACACTACATGTACCACCACACACGACATGTACCAGCACACACTACATGTACCACCACACACTACATGTACCACCACACACTACATGTACCACTACACACTACATGTACCACTACACACTACATGTACCACCACACACACTACATGTACCACCACACACACTACATGTACCACCACACACTACATGTACCACCACACAATACATGTACCACCACACACACTACATGTACCACCACACACTACATGTACCACCACACACACTACATGTACCACCACACACTACATGTACCACCACACACTACATGTACCACCACACACTACATGTACCACCACACACTAACATGTACCCAACCCACCAACACTGTACACACCACACACACTACATGTACCACCACACACTACATGTACCACCACACACTACATGTACCACCACACACACTACATGTACCACCACACACTACATGTACCACCACACACTACATGTACCACCACACACACTACATGTACCACCACACACTACATGTACCACCACACACTACATGTACCAACACACACTACATGTACAACTACACACTACATGTACCACCACACACTACATGTACCACCACACACTACATACCACCACACACTACATGTACAACTACACACTACATGTACCCCCCACACACTAACATGTACCACCATCACACTACATGTACAACTACACACTACATGTACCACCTACACACCTACATGTACCACTACAACACACTACATGTACCACCACAGACTACATACCACCACACACTACATGTACAACTACACACTACATGTACCACCACACACTACATGTACCACCACACACTACATGTACCACCACACACTACATGTAACAACACACACTACATGTACCACCACACACTACATGTACCACTACACACACTACATGTACCACCACAGACTACATACCACCACACACTACATGTACAACTACACACTACATGTACCACCACACACTACATGTACCACCACACACTACATGTACCACCACACACTACATGTACAACTACACACTACATGTACCACCACACACTACATGTACCACTACACACACTACATGTACCACCACACACTACATGTACCACAACACACTACATGTACCACCACACACTACATGTACCATCACACACTACATGTACCACCACACATTACATGTACAACTACACACTACATGCATCACCACACACTACATGTACCACCACACACTACATGTACCACCACACACTACATGTACCACCACACATTACATGTACAACTACAGACTACATGCATCGCCACACACTACATGTACAGCCACACACTACATGTACCACCACACACACTACATGTACCACCACACACTACATGTACCACCACACACTACATGTACAACAACACACTACATGTACCACCACACACTACATGTACCACCACACACTACATGTGCAACTACACATTACATGTACCACCACTCACTACATGTACCACCACACACACTACATGTACCACCACACACTACATGTACCACCACACACTACATGTACAACTACACACTACATGCATCACCACACACTACATGTACCACCACACACACTACATGTACTACCGCACACTACATGCACCGCAACACACTACATGTACCACCACACACTACATGTACCACCACACACTACATGTATAACCACACACTACATGTACCACCACACACTACATGTACCACCACACACTACATGTACCACCACACACTACATGTACCACCACACACACTACATGTACCACCACACACACTACATGTACCACCACACACTACATGCACCACAACACACTACATGTACCACCACACACTACATGTACCACCACACACTACATGTACCACCACACACACTACATGTACCACCACACACACACTACAAGTACCACCACACACTACATGTACCACCACTCACTACATGTACCACCACTCACTACATGTACCACCACACACTACATGTACCACCACGCAATACATGTACCACCACACACACTACATGTACAACCACACACTACATGTACCACCACACACTACATGTACCACCACACACTACATGTACCACCACACACACTACCTGTACCACCACACACACTACATGTACCACCACACAAACTACATGTACCACCACACACTACATGTACCACCACACACTACATGTACCACCACACACTACATGTACCACCACACACTACATGTACCACCACACACTACATGTACCACCACACACACTACATGTACCACCACACATTACATGTACCACCACACACTACATGTACCACAACACACACTACATGTACCACCACACACACTACATGTACCACCACACAAACTACATGTACCACCACACACTACATGTACCACCACACGCTACATGAACGACCACACACTATATGTACCACCACACACTACATGTACCACCACACACACTACATATACCACCACACACTACATGTACCACCAGACACTACATGTACCACCAGACACTACATGTATAACCACACGCTACACTTACCACCACACACACTACATATACCACCACACACTACATGTACCACCACACACTACATGTACCACCAGACACTACATGTATAACCACACGCTACACTTACCACCACACACTACATGTACCACCACACACTACATGTTCCACCACACACTACATGTACAACTACACACTACATGTATCACCACACACTACATGTACAACCACACACTACATGTACAACCACACACTACATGTACAACCACACACTACATGTACTACCACACACACTACATGTACCACCACACACTACATGTACAACCACACACTACATGTACCACCACACACTACATGTACCACAACACACACTACATGCACAACTACACACTACATGTACCACCACACACACTACACGTACAACTACACACTACATGTACCACCACACACTACATGTACCACCACACACACTACACGTACAACTACACACTACATGTACCACCACACACACTACACGTACAACTACACACTACATGTACCACCACACACTACATGTACCACCACACACACTACATGTACCACCACACACTACATGTACCGCCACACACTACACGTACAACTACACACTACATGTACCACCACACACTACATGTACCACCACACGCACTACATGTACCACCACAAACTACATGTACCACCACACACTACATGTACAACTACACACTACATGCATCACCACACACTACATGTACAGCCACACACTACATGTACCACCACACACACTACATGTACCACCAC